TTTCCTCAGCCATTTATACTGTTAGTAATACGAGCGGCGACGTTTATATCTACACGCCACGGGCGTGGCGGCGATGCGAATCGCGTGCACCGCTTCCCTCGAGAGGATATCCGGTGTGGAAACGCTCCCCCTTCCATTCAGCCCTCTTGCTGAGCTCTCTCTCTCTCTCTCTCTCTCTCTCTCTCTCTCATCTCTCTCATTCTCTCATCTCACTCATTCTCTTTCGTGTTCTTTCTCTCTGTCCTTCTCCATAGAACCGTGTACACTTCCTCTGTCTCCCTCCGTCCCCTCCAACATCGCCCTTCTTTCATAGCTGTAACAGCGCGTCCTCAATGAGTCGACGAACAGTCACATTCACGTCGGAAGTTTTACGCTGCGTGAAATACAACGACGAGACTTTTCGTGAACAGGAACGATACGCATCGGGTCACAATTCATGCTTGTTCATCCATAAAAATCCCTTTCGATCGAGCGATCAGATCCTACCGTGAGTCTCTTTCAAGTCTCGCATTCTTTTCTTTCTTTGAAGGATTCTCGGAGTCAAGTCATTTGTAGATTTATGAATAAGTTTATGGAATTTAAATGTCTTTGAGTAATTTTTTATGTATTTTTTAACGCAGAACTGAATTTACTATTTTTAATGCGTTTTTAATCTAAAACTGGAAATTAACTACTGGAATTTAATAGTGAAAGTGGAAAAAATCTGACGGTAAAAGCGTAATTCGTCTTGGTAATGCTTTTTTTTTGAGATTTCTGAATTTATGATGTTTTTCTGTATTCATTCAATATTCACAAAGTAAATCCTATGTAACATAAAGATCGGAAAAAGAAGAAATATTTCTAATTATATCTCCCCTCTCTCTTTCCATTCTCTTTCTATATTTTCCTGCGCCATCGCTTTCAGCAATTGCGGAGGTTAATTGTCTCTAATTAAGTAAGTCATTCGGGCGGTATAAAGAAGTTAGTGTACTCGGAATAACAGTGGCGAAATGTTACCCTCATTTTCACAATTACATTCTCTCTCCTCTCCTACTCTCCCCTCTTCACGTTATTTTACGATCTCTCTTGAGACTTGCTGACGCTACGTTCCCATTGAAACACGTGACATTGTACTGTAGAATTATTTGATGTATCGCATAATTCTCGGATATTTTATCCCGATGACAAGTATTTATGTATAACAACTTGAGAAAAAGCTTCCTATTCCTAAAAATAATTTCACAGGATGCTTTTAAAACAGTTTCTTTTCATCTTTAAAAGCATTCTCAAAACTGGCAATTCATTTGGAGATACTCTGCTCTCTAATTCATTTTAAAACTTTTAGAATGAATCTTACTCTGGAAAATGAAATCGCATTTTTAAAGATTGAAAAATGATTTTTTCAATTTTCACACTTTCTGATGTCTAGCAAAATCCAACTAGTCAATTCAAGGCTAATTCTAGGACATTCCAGATAAAAATTCAGGTATTTCAGTTATTCTATCAATTAATTTTCATTATTTAATTAATTTTCATCAATTCACATAATATTATGTTTTGTATTCAAGTTAGAATTTTATACGAATGAATTAAAATGCTAACAAATTTGGAGCAATATTATTTATTGCTTCATAAATAATATCAAATATTTTGTCAACACAAACGATTTTTCTACTATATTTTATTTTAATCATTAAATATTCAAGTTTTCTATTAGTAACTTATTGCATTTTTAAGGGAGAACTTGTATCCAAACATAACTTTCATTTTATTATTTCTTTCTTTGTTCACACTCTGATTTTTTTTTAAATGAAAGAATAATACATTCCAGATCAGCCCTGAAATTTCAGTTTTCCAGGAATTTTGTAAAATAAATAAAATTCCAGAATCCAGATATTCAAGGACCGTTGGCTACCATGTCTTTAGAGTGAAATCCACTTCAAAGAAGATTAGATTATTTTCACATGTTGCAGCGATGGAATTTGAACCTGTCGGACGTTATATCCGTTCTCAAAGCGTGATAAGAGCAAAAAGACCGCCTAGTACCGTCCGTTTTTTCCAAGTTTCTCTGAATGTCGCGTCGGATAAACAGTTTCTTTTCATCTTTAAAAGCATTCTCAAAACTGGCAACTCATTTAGAGAGACTCTGCTCTCTAATTCATTTTAAAACTTTTAGAATGACTCTCACTCTGGAAAATGAAATCTCACTTTTAAAGATTAAAAAATGATTTTTTTCAATGACTCTTTCACTCTTTCTAGCAAAATCCGACTAGTCAATTCAAGGCTAATTCTAGGACATTCCAGATAAAAATGTCGGATAAATGTTTCTCTTCACTCGATTGTTGATAGAACGGATCGCAACGCGCTGTTCACGGTTGTTCGATCTCGTGTAAATGCTAACCAGGTAATCTACGCCATTTCCGATCGCATAGTCGTTGAGCTGTACGATCAATGCGTGAGCACGCACGTGCGAAACGCAGTTGCACTTGCACGAGCGGCAATCACAATGAAAGAGATCTGGAGAGAAAGAAGGAGACAGAGAGAGAGAGAGAGAGAGAGAGAGAGAGAGAGAGAGACGAGGACAACCTGCAGATGCATGAATGACTCGAAATGACGTGCGCGTTTATTGAGCGCGGCCTGTCGACTCGCGTTCTCGATTGCTCCCAGCAAGGACACGACATATTTTCTGACTCCAACCAGTGATGGACTCGAACAGTTTGGAAAAGAGCCGAGTCTTCGATAAATAATTGACGATTGAAAAAAATATGAAAATTAGTGACAAGCAATCGGAATTTTTATTGACAAATATAATATATTTTTTAATAATTTCGTACGATACAAACGATATTAATATAATGTATCTAATAATATTCATACAATTTTATAATAGAATTTTACGAGCACAGAATATAATTAATAAATATAAAAAAGATATAAAGCCAAAGGTATTTCACTGATAGCTCTTTAAATTTGTGCTTGTTATCAAACAATTCGATAGGAAATTTCTACGAGAACAAAATTCTCTCTCAATATTAAAAATATTTTATATTGAAAACATTCAAATTCTTTCTTTCTCGCTCTCTCTTTAGAAATAGAAGCACAGATAATGTTTCTATAAAAATCTAGTTAGGCAAATACGATTAAAATTTATTTCCTCGCATTAATATTCGCTCAAGTTACCGTTTGTTCGCGTTGATCAGTGGTTCGTATCTTACACAGGCGGCACCGACTTAGGACGCTGTTCGCAGGGAGGAAAGAGGAGAGAAACAGAGGAAACGCGTGAGAGTGTGTGCGTGCGTGCGTACGCGCACGAACGTATCGGTATATATCGATGTGTATAAGATAACATGCGTAAGAGTAGCGCGCACACAAGACGGAATGGCATCGGGGGTGAGGGAGGGGACAGGGATTCGGATAAACCGATTAAAACTTTTACACGGCTTACGTAAGTGAGTCTCCGTTTCGCGCGGATATACAGACTTCGTAGAATGATTTTCTACGACGTCGATTTCTTTTCGATCGCGCGGGACACATTCGATTCTATACGCCCGCGACCTATTATTATCGCTTCCGGTAGCGCTAAAAAGGGGGAGGGTAGTTCTCGAGAGAATTTGAGAACGATATGTGATCTACTGCGTAACGTTACACGTCATCGTCGTTGTCGTCGTCGTCGTTATTGTCGTCTTCCTCCTCCTCGTCGTCGTCGATTTATTTCTCGAGTTTCTTTCCGGCGTTATTACCACTCTCGGCCAATTAAAAACGCGCGTTCCCACGGTCGGGGTGTACATATCGTCGAAAGTCTTAATAAAGGGACGTGTAATGGAGGTGATAGTCGGAAGAAGGGTCCAAATAGGACTGAGGGCTCTTTTCCAGGAGGACGTTTTGTTCAATTTTTCAATGTATTTACGCCTAGCGGCTCGGTTTCGACGTTTTTCAATGGATAGCAGGAGATAGTCACTTAAATAAATATGATTTATGTTGACATCATGACAGATACAAAAGTAGCCTGTTTTTCGCATTCTTCTTGTTAAAATTTAATAGAGGAGGCATTGATATAAAAGAAAAAGATCAAACATTGAAAATGTTTTACTCGC